TGTTTATTTATTTTTGGGACAGAGAGAGACAGAGCATGAACGGGGGAGGGGCAGAGAGAGAGGGAGACACAGAGTCGGAAACAGGCTCCAGGCTCTGAGCCATCAGCCCAGAGCCTGACGCGGGGCTCGAACTCACGGACCGCGAGATCGTGACCTGGCTGAAGTCGGACGCTTAACCGACTGCGCCACCCAGGCGCCCCAACGGTCAGGTGTTCTTAAACAAATGTGTAATATGCAGTTGTTAATTATTCTATTCAAATCTTATATATCCTTACCAGCCTTTTGCCAGCTTGTGAGATCAATAACTGAGAGAAGTATGTCAACGTCACCCTGTTTTGTCCTTTACTTAGCAGTCTGGATAGCATTTGATCATCTGTAAGGCTACAACTAAGTGTTAACCTAAGGCAAGCCCATATAGGTACTTTTATTGCAAAAATATCTTCATGTTTATTCCGTTTCTTTCCTCTTCTTACAGGTTTTCCTTTTAATCCAAAGTGAGAAGATGAAAAATGACTACATTTACCTCAGTTGGTTAGCTCGGTGCTGTGAGTCATCTTTTAATGTTACAGAGGAATCCTCTTTTTCTTCTCTGTTGCATAATCTTCTGGATAGAAATTATAGTGAACATTTATGTATTTATTTATTTATTTTTAAGTTGTTGTTTTTTTTCATTTTATTTATTTATTTTGAGAGGGAGAGAGAAAAAGAGCACAAGCAGGGGAGGGACAAAGAGAGAGGGGAGACTGAGAATCCCAGGCAGGCTCCAGGCTGTCAGTGCAGAGGCTGATGCAGGACTTGATCGTGAGATCATGACCATGAGATCATGACCTGAGCCAAAATCAAGAGTTGGACGCTCAACTGACTGAGCCACCCAGGTGCCCCTTGTTTTATTTTTTTATTTTAAAGAGAGAAAGCCGGGGAGAGGGGCAAATGGAGAGAGAGAGAGAGAGAGAGAGAGAGAGAGAGAGAGAGAAACCCAAGCTGGCTTCATGCCCAGCATAGAGCCTGACATGGAGCTCAATCCCACAACCCCAGGATCATGACCTGAGCTGAAATCATGAGTCGGATGCTCAACCGACTCAGCCACCCAGGCACCCCTACAGTGAACATTTCTAATTTTTTTTGTAGAATGAGTAAACACTGAAATTAAGCATCATTAATGCTACTCAGTTAGGGTGGCCATGTACACGTATTATGTACATTTACCCTGTAGTTGGTTCTACCATACAACATTGACCTCCATGAATAGTCCTGAAAGGTGTCAAGTTCTTCCTTCAGCCCTGTTCAAGTTTCCAGAATTTCAGTTTACAGTATTCTGTGTTAAATAGGCTAATTTTACCTTTTCATTATGATGAAGACCTGAAAAGTGGTAATGTGTCGGAAACATATTTTTTTAATCTGTTTTTAAAGTTTATTTATTTTGAGAGAGTGCACACGTGCATGAGCTGGGGAGGGGCAGAGAGAAAGGGAGAAAGAATCTAAAACAGGCTCCGTGCCTACAGCATGGGCTCAATCCCACAAATCATAATTTTTTAAAATACTATGTAGCCTACAACCTTTGTCTGTCTGTCATCTCCTATTAATTATCTTTCCTTGCTCCTTTTTTTTCACTCAGATTTAAAATGTTCACAGAGTTTTTGAAGTCACAGAAAAATTTCGGCAATCACATGTTCTCAGTGAGGCTGAAACTGTATGAGAAGGATTTAATGAATGATATGTGACTTTTGAGCAGATGAGCAAAGTGGGAACTACTGGAAATCAACCCAATCTAAAAATACATAATTCTGTGAATCCTAACTTAAATATCTTATGTATGGTAGAGTTCTGATGGAGAACCAGCTTAATGATGACCTTGCAAGCTTTCTACATAAGGGCTATTTACCATTCCTTTGTCTGTTTGGAACATAGAACGAAATCCAAAGAATAGCAAGATGCAGAATTGTATTTCCTGCACATTTAAAAGGCAAAACTCTGGGGCGCCTGGGTGGCTCAGCCAGTTGAGTGTCCAACTCTTGATTTGGGCTCAGGTCATGATCTCAGGGTCATGGGATCAGCCCCATGTCAGGATCTGTGTTGAGCATGGAGTCTGCTTAGGATTTTTTTTCTCTCTTTCACTCTCTCCCCTGCTTGCATGCTCTTTCTCTCTCTCTTTCTCTCTCTAACAAATAAATAAATAAATGCCCCAACTTTTTTTTTCTTTTCTTTTTTTTTTTTGTAGATATAATGAATAAGAAACCAAGACTAGCCTGGGAACTGTATCTCAAGATGGAAACTTCTGGCGAGTCCTTTAGCCTCTTACAGCTCATTGCTAATGACTGCTACAAGGTGAGTCCAAGTGACACCTCAAGGGAAAACTGAAGGTCAGTCACACAGTGCTACACTGGCCAAATACTAGGGAAGGGTGTCCTAGAGATTAAATGGCCATGTCAGAAATGTCATCCCTGGGGCTTCTGGCTGGCTCAGTCAGAGGAGCATGCAACTCTTGATCTCAGGGTTGTGAGTTCAAGCCCCACATTGGGTGTAGAGAATACTTAAAAATAAAATGTTAAAAAAAAAAAAAGAAATGTCATCCCTTTTATGAGCATATGAATTCAGAGATAGCATTTCACGATTTTATATACATATCCAATATGTATGCATATAAGTGAAATATGAAATGTATATGAAACAATGATTTAGAGAGGTTGTTTTAGATTTCTAAAGACTCTGAATCTTTAGATATCATCCAGGTAGAGATAATCATGTGGGAGTTGGAAACTTAATTCTGAAGATCAGGAAAAATGTCCTCTAATATCTAGAGACGTAGATTTGGAGAAATCAGCACCATTTCAATAGTAATTGAAGCCCTGATAAACAGGATTACCTAGGTAAGGAAGTAAAGTGAGAAGAGTAGGGAGTTGCAAACCAAACCTTAGGGAATACTTAGGGGCAAATAGTAGACTGGAGAGACAAAGGAACCAGAAAAGAGAATAAGAAGCAATCAGGTTTCATAAAAGACTAGCTTGGCGGGGGGGGGGGGGGTACTGGAAAGGCAGGGGGAAGGAGGGAGGACTTTGGGGCCTTATCCTATAGATTAGAAGTTTTTTAACAAATTAACCTCACATTCTGGAAGTTCCTATTGGGGAATATTTAGGTAACACCAGACTAGTGTTAAATTAATAACAGCTCATTTCAAAGTGAATCATTACAAAAATAAAGTGAGTCACTACCAATGGAAAAGGTTGTAAAACATAGGAAACTTGAAAATGTTTAACATGACTTAGTAGATGGCAATGACATTAAGCGAGTTAGGGGAACCAGAGGGAAAGAAAACATTCAGACGGGAATTTAGTTCAGTTGTAGATGTATTAAATCTGAAGTGTGTTTGGGGCTCCAGTTAGAGATATTACCTGTGGGAAATTATTATGGCGATCCTGGAGCTCAGGTGTTCCTGTAAGAGGTCGGGATTAGAGATACAGTTGTAGAAGTTAACAGTAGTTGGCGGTGGTGGTGGTGGCGGCAGCAGCAGTAGCAGGAGAGTGTGGGCGACAGTGAGGTTAACCAGCCAATGGGGTGAGGAACCACACGGACGCCAGTGTTTAAGGCATAGAAATAGAAGAATCAGTGTAAGAGACAGAGGATGCTGATGGATATAAAGGAAAGAAAAGAACCAGGAAGTGGGGGGGAGGGCTTTTCATTCCTCTTTTTCTTGTTCCAGTTTTATCAAAAGCCTAGGGAGGAGCATGACAAATCTGCAACCTGTTGGAACTGCATGAGACTTGAGAAAACAATAGTGGGTAGAGAAGAGAATGAGATTAGAAAGCCGACACAGTGAGCGTAGACCACAAAGAAATGGATGCTGAGGATAAGGGGGGAAACATGACGCTGACTTAAAAGGAAAACCATGGTTAAGGACGTGGGGCGGGGAGTATTTTTGCAGGTGGAGGGAGAGGTTGTTTTTGTTTGTTTGTTTTTATTTTTTATTTATTTTTTATTTTTTAACGTTTATTTATTTTTGAGACAGAGAGAGACAGAGCATGAACGGGGGAGGGGCAGAGAGAGAGGGAGACACAGAATCGGAAGCAGGCTCCAGGCTCTGAGCCATCAGCCCAGAGCCTGACGCGGGGCACGAACCCACAGACCGTAAGATCGTGACCTGAGTTGAAGTCGGACGCTTAACCGACTGAGCCACCCAGGCGCCCCTGTTTGTTCGTTTTTAGAGTAGGGAGTTAAAGTATCGTTAGGCAGAGGAGCTGTTGGACAGGGAGGTTAGAGATTCGAGAGAATGGGGGCATTTCTGATGGAAGAAGGCCCTACGGAGATGAGAGGAAGATGGAGTTAATGACCTTAAAAAGAAGAGAAGGACCTTAAAAACCAGTTCAGTCTTACCTACTGTCTCAGTGGTCCCATGACCACCCACTGGTTTGGTGAGTCATTGGAAGGGTTCTGAGGATTCAAAGTTACACTCATGGCTAAGATTTACTACAATATAGAAAAAGCAAGAAAAAGATACGTATAGGAGGAGACTGGAGAGGTTAAGCCCAGGCTTTTTTGTCCTCCCTCTGTGCTAATTGCACAATCATGTCTTTCTCCAGCTGCAAACTACAGAGACATGTATGAGATGTCCTTGTCCAGGAAAAATCGAAAGGGCAAATAGGGGAAAAAATGGCAGAATTAAGTCTTCTAACATGTCAATCACATTAAATGTAAATGGTCTAAATATACCAATTAAAAGAGAGATGTTGACAGAGTGGATAAGAAACCAAGACCCAACTATGTACTTTTTACAAGAAACTCATTTCAAATCTAGTGATATAGGTAGGTTGAAAGTAAAAGGACAGAAAAAATATGTACCGTGAATTAAGCAATTTGTTTAACAAACACATGCTTACCATATGACTCAGCAATCACACTCCTGGGCATTTATCTCAGAAATGAAACCTGTATCCATACGAATACCTATTCCCAATGTCAATAGCAGCTTGATTTGTAATAACCAAAAACTGGAAATAATCCAAATGTCCTTCAGTAGTGAATGGTTAAACAAACCGGTTTGGCATGGACTACTGCTTATTAATAAGCAGGAATGATGAGGACAGTCCTGACTGCCTTTCTTGATGTTTGACTGCTGACACCTTTTAAGCTTCACCCTTCCTTCTTCCCCTTGTGCCCCACATCTGGACAAAATGATCAGAAATGCTAGGTACTCCCTTCTCTGGTGCCACCAGGTGATTCAGACCACATGAGCCCCTGCTGGTGCTCAGGAACCCTCATCCCGGCCCCAACCACAATAAAAATCTCTTAAGACATTTGCTCTCTTGCTCTCTCTTGAGAGGCCTGCCCTACCCCTCCCAGAGATCTCAATTATTTAAGTAAGAAATCTTTCCATGCTCTCTTGGTGTGTGTATGGCATCATCACTCTCAACATCCAGACCAAACTTTGGGTGGAGGTGCCTCCTGCTTTTTCAAGGTTATGTAATAGGAACCAACTAGTGATATACATAGTAACTTGGATTTTTTTTTTAATTGAAGTATAGTTGACACATAATGTTACATTAGTTTCAGGTGTACAACACAGTGATTCAACAACTCTACACGTTATACTGTGCTCACAAGTGTAGCTACTATCTATCACCATACAATGCTATTATGAACCATGGACTATATTCCCTGTACTGTGCCAAAATAACTTGGATTAATAAGGAATAAGAACGACATTATGCTGAGTGAAAAAAGCCAATCTCAAAAGAGGCCCATACTGCTTGATTTCATATACATAACATGCATGAAATGAAAAGTATAGAGATGTAGAACAAATTAGTGATTGCTGGGAGTTAAGGATGATCAACAGGGAGAGGGGTGTGTATGTCTCTAAAAGGGTAGGACAGATTTGTGATGATGGAATCGTTCTGTATCTTGATAGTGATATGAATCTACCGATTTGATGAAATGACAGAACTATACACCCACATTGTAGCAATGTCCTGGTTTTAGATACTGTGATACTGCACTATAGTAAGCTGTAACTGGGGAATTTGGGTGAAAGGTACCTGGAACCAAAAAAAAAAAAAAAAACCGAAGTTTTAGAGTACCTGGCTGGCTCAATTGCTAGAGCATGTCTCTTTGATCTTGGGAGTGTGAGTTTGATTCCTATGTTGGGTGTAGAGATTACTTAAAAATAAAATCTTTAAGAAAAGAAAAGAAAAAGGTATATGGGACCTCTTTGTACTATCTCCAAAACATCCTATAAATCTAGAATTATTTCAAAATAAGTAATTTTTAAAGATGAACCGACTAGAGCTATATCCAGCCATATAGATGCATCTTAACATAGGCAAGACACAGAAGAATATTTATGGTATTCATAAAGATAAAGTCTTGAAAGACAAAAGTTTAATTATATTGTCTAAAGGTATACACATAAGTATAAAAAAAGTCAAAGAACTGATGACCATAAAAGTTGGCATAGCAGTTGCTTCTGGAGGGAAGGAGAGGGCTGTGGTCTGGCAGTGACACAGAGCTAAATAGCGTCAATGTCTCGTTTCTTGACCTGAGCAGGGATTACTCTTGTGTTCATGTTTTATGCATTAAATTGTACATTAATGTTTCAGGCGCCATTCTATATCTGTGTTATTTCACCAAAAATAATTTTTTGAAGAGCACGTAGGAAAAAGGACTAACCTTGAAAAGGAATAAGAACACTTCTTTCTGTGAAATGTACAGAAACGAGGGAAGGATGAATGCGAGTACGAGCATAATGTGAGCTGAAGGGAGGAAGGTTGTGTTTTCCCTGAAGGATAGACAAATGCTAAGACTGCAGTAGAGATCTTAAGGAAATTAGCAAAGGTTTAGAATAGCACTTTATGGGAGTGGAGAGGTAACGAAACCACACTGAGCAAGGAGGATTGCCCAGCAAGTTGAAGGCTTCAACAACATGGCAATGCTATATGTTTTTGGCTGCCAGTCAAGAAAACTCACCTAAGCACAGTTTAATAGTATTTGGCATGCTCTACATGGCAGAGGAAATGTGTAGTATATTTGGGAAAGAGTTCTGTCAAAATGAATTAAGTGTTTAGAAGATTTGATGTTTAGAGTAGTAGTCAGTATCCATCTCGGCATTTTAAGAATTTAGGAACAAGGTCAGGAAAAGTCATGTTCTCTTTGAACATGATCAAATTAACGTAAAATGAATGATGGTAGTCACCTACGGAATGTGTTGAGGAAACCTGACAGCGCGGAGCCTGCTTGGGATTCTCTCTCTCTCCCTCTCTCTCTGCCCCTCCCCCACTTTTGCTATCTCTGTGTCTCTCAAAATAAATAAGTAAGCTTGAAAAAAAAGAGTACAGTATAATTAGAAGAAATGACAGATGTGTTGATTACAGCATAACTTGACTATATGTAGGAAAAATGTTACGTTGTTGAAAACTGGTATAAATTGAACCACGTACTCAAATTGTGATTTTCCTTCTTTAGTTTTAGTAAGGAATTGAAATTTATCTAATTTGCTAGCTGAAAATGTCATCACTAACCATTTTTTATATAGTTCTGTTTCACGCTGTCTTTACATTTCGTTTCATTCAGTGCAATCTTTAGATTACAAGTATTATCACAATACTTTTTTTTAATCAGATGGGCCAGTTCTACTATTCAGCCAAAGCTTTTGATGTCTTAGAGAGGCTGGATCCTAACCCTGAATATTGGGAAGGCAAGAGGGGAGCCTGTGTGGGCATTTTCCAGATGATTTTAGCTGGACGAGAACCCAAGTAAGTAATCCAAAAGAGACACTACCTCTATTCTTTTGGTGTTTGTAAGGGAAAAGAATTATTTTCTTGTATTACATCTTCTGAAAACCCAAAACGATAGTGATGTTTTATAATGATGAATAGAAGATTAAGATGTTTTGTATGTCTATCTGATGTTTTCTCTCCAGAAATTTTTTATGTTCCAAATCATTTTTACTGGGGACACTGAGTATACTATAGCTTTCAAATGTAAGAGTAAGATATATATTTGGCTCCAAATGAATTGTCATGTTCATTAAAAAAGTCTCTTTCTATCTCTTCTACTCTTTTCTTTGCCTATTAGCTTTTTCTTGTGCACTTACTTTGGGCTTCAAAGATTTAGGAATGGAGTGGGTATGGTTGATAATTTTTTTTTTGTCTCCCTATATTTCAGGAAATAACTGAGAGTAGATTACATAAAATTAAGTAACATACAGCTCCATTTATAACAAAAATTAAAATACTTAAAACTAAATTCAATTTTCTAAAAATAACTTTGTGGAATATATTTGTTACTGGTGTATAAATAGATGTGGTTATTTTATAAGTAAATAATGTATCAAAAATTACTTCCTTCCTTGTATCTGATTCCATTCCTAAATACTGGTTTAAAGAAATTTATTAGGATGGGGTGCCTGGGTGGCTCAGTCAATTAAGCATAGGACTCTTGATCTCAGCTCAGGTCATGATATCACGGTTCATGAGTTCAAAGCCCATGTGATTGAGATTCTGGCTCTTCCTCTCTCTGCCCCTCCCTCCTTTTCTGTCTCAAAATAAATAAATGAACTT